ACAACCCAAATTAATGAAGCACTACCGTTGGCTTCATGAAGACAATGATGATTTTACGGTGAGAGCTATTTTTACAATGGTGAGAGCCATAATGGGAATCTTATGCGATGCACATTAAGAAATTCTATCAATAATTTATTTATTAATATTTGAAAATAATCAATAACTGCATTATTTTATAAATATATTTCTTAGTTTATACCAAAAAAAATATTTCTTGGTAAGAAATATAGTGTGCTATTGGTGATCTACAACTACAAATCACTGAAGAAAGTAATTATAAAAATTAAAGGAGAACCACCCCTCTATTACCTCTTTGAACCTGAATCTTAAATATCTGGTTACTTCACTTAAGGTGCAAAATTTGAATCTGGGCAGTCTAAAACCATATTCATCTGTGCTAAGTCTAGTCGAAGTCCCAGATCGGTTAATCTCATTGCCGGTTCCATTGGAGAAGGGAATCGAAGGTATGGAAAGTAGCTTCACATTGAATAGTCGATTGAAGCTTTGTCCTTTTAAACTAAAGATGATTTTGGTACTCAGAGTTAAAAAGTGTGCATACGCAAAGCATAGCTAAAATAAGAGTCGGGAAGAAAAAAAGTAGTGTGACTGGAATGAACAGCAATTCTTCAAAAAATCATACTACTTCCTATCATCTACTAAAAATCTTCCAATTTGGCAATCTCAGCATATGAGAGCATATTATAATTGGGAATATATACTCAAAAACATGGCATTAAAAGCTCATAAGATGATAGAACCTAACCTCAACCATCCTTGAGCCAAAACATCACTAATCTGCTGGAGAAAGATTATGATATGCCCCACATATGCCCCCTGCCCAAAACCTCTCTACTGCATTAGATGGAACATGACTCCTATTGGTCTTGTGAAACTATTTTCGGGTCACAACGGTAGGAACATAGTATCACAACCACAAACTGTAAGAATTTTTTATAAGAAAACTTAATTCCATACCTTAAAAAAGAACTTTCTGAAGTGGGAAAAAAAGAGGAGGCTACGCTTTGAGAATTTTGACTAAGAGCCTACAACAACAAAGAAGGAGATGAAATTAAAATTTAACCTTTTTTAATTAAACTTACTACATTTTCATTTCAATAATTTATGAATTTGGAAACTGATATCTAAATGCACATAATTTATTCACCAAACCTCAACCAAAAACAATGTTCTCTAGCTAGTACAAAACTAACAGGCCACTTAAACCCCATTTCTTGCTGTCCAAATACCATAGCAACACAAAGCCCTAGTAACAAAAGTAATCTTCGACTATTAATCTTTATAATAGCGTCTCCAACATCCCTAAACTAAGTAACATAAATATCTATATTCATACCCCTAAAAACAGCCTCATACACACATTTAGCAAATTTGCAACTCTACATCAGGTGTAAATTTGAAAAACTAAATTAAAAGAGAGTAAAATAAATAAATAATAAGTAAATAAATAAAAAGGGTGAATAGTGTGTCTCATCGGCAACGTTCTAGCAGGTTACAGGTTTGAGCTGTGCCTCTAATCTCCTTTCAATTTGGGTCCAAATTTCTGGAAAATCTAATAATCTTAATGTTAATACAAAAGAAATTGAAAAAATAATGAAGAATAGGGAATTACCTTCATCTCACATTCTCTACTTTCCGTTGAAGCCCCGGCCTGATAAGCTGGGATGAAGCTGTATTGTTCTCCAGCTCTATCCACCTCTCCTAAGAACGACATCCAAGATCCAAATCTATAATTACAAATATAGTTTTCGATAGAAAATTAAACTGAACTTGAAATGGTGTAAATACCCAACCAACCACGCTGCCATTATCGTTGTCCAAACAAAATCGAATTGTTACCGTCGTGGCTAAGTTCGAAGACGGACAACAACCATCTGAAAAATTAATCTATTATTATTCCTCCATTTTTGTACGAAGTAATAAAAAAGAAATGCGGAAGAAGCTGGTCTCTCGCAAGCGAGCGATGAGCAGCGACATTAGAGCTCGAAGAGCAGACAAAACCCTAGAAAAAAAGGCGAGCAGAGTGCACGCGGCTCTGAAAAGGCAAAAAGAAAGATCTGTTAAATCTTCTTAATAAATGCAATTGGACTTGAGGCAGGTGCGTTTGATTGGATATGGCTCTCTGCCACTCTGTACACTTTAATAGCCAGACAATGGATTACGGAGTAAACTATACGGGTACACTTTAATAGCCTATCACTAATAGACCTCATAGCCCCATTTACTCTAAGCTCATCACACCCAGCCCAATTAGCAATGACTCGGCCCAAAAAATTGGGCGGGAACACTATACAAAAACCCATCCTACCATTGTATATAGTTAGATGCTATGAAACTCATAGGAAAATACATAGAACAGATATATATAAAATATGTTTCATGGTTAATCTCTATAAGTTTTGCTTCATTCGCAACCCAACTCTTCTAATTATGTCACTAAAACTATACATCCATAAATGTGGTGTTTTGCTCTAATATTAAAATTTTAGATATTAAAAATAAAAAAAATCTACATATTTAGTTTGTTTATTCGTAATACTCCGTATTGATTTATACATTTAAATAATAAATATTACTTAGAATATCAGGAAAAAAATAAAGATCATAAATCGTTGGGTCGACTTAAACTTGACACTGAGTCATGAATATGCAATTTTCAAACAAAACTCGAATTTATTCATTCCAATCCGATGAGATCAAAATTCTTAAGATGAAATTAGATTATTTCAAATCAGATTCAGATCAAAAGGTAAAATGGCCCCAAATCCCCCAATCGCTCCTCTCCCTGGAAACTTAACGCAAATTCAGCCGCTCTCCTATTCACCATCGACAATCAACGAAGAGGGAGAGAAGAAGCTGACGCCGCTGGTTCGAAGAAGAATCGCCAAGTAATGGTCGACAAAGGGAGAAGACTTCTCTCCAAATAATCAACCTGTAGGTCAAGTGACATCTCAACTGGAAAATCTCAAAGGTATGAATCTGGGATTTTATGGACTACGAAGAACAGTTTTTTTTGGTGAATTTCATATACTTTTTCTTCAAATTTTAGTTGTTGAAAATCAGTATGTTTGTTCAATTTTTTTTAAAAAAAACAGTTAAATATGTCAAGTTTTTATGCTCATTATATGCTAAAACAGCAAATTTTATTCGCTCATGAGATGAAATTGAAGTTGGAGTTGTGTGAATTGGTTTGGTAACTCCTTAATCTATTCGTTTGAATTATTGATGAATGATGGCTAATATCCTAGATAGGAAATTGAAATTGGAGTTTCTTGATTATCCCAGATTATTAAAAATGAAATTTATTGGACTTGGGAGTGTTTTAACTTATAAATCAAAATGCTTTGTGATTTGTTGTGTTTGATTATGCTTCTCCATCATACACTTACTCTATATACTTTACTTGATTACTAAAAATAATACAGAGTAACAATGAAAATTTGGCCATAGATGATTTTTAATTCTGCATCTGCCACAGTGGCCAGCCTGAATCATCTCCTTCTGCGATCCCTGACCTGATTTGTGTGAAAAATGCATGGAATACCACGAGGAGCTCTAAGCCAAGACAAACAAGAAGCTTTGGCGAGTAAATCAGCTAAACTTCGGTCTCTCCAAAATCAGTTCCACCACTTTCATCACAATAAAATGTATATCATGAAGGGCTTATTTCCTCATTTATGTAAAACTATAATCTATAGAAAACTTCGAGTTTTCATCTCATGAAATGGGGACCCTAGGTTTAACGTTTTTGTATATATTTTGTTTACTTTTACAGTTATGATAAAGAAGCGCTCGAAGTTAGCACGAAGCTGCTCGAGCTCAATCCGGAACATTACACAGCTTGGAATTACCGAAAGCTTGCCGTACATCACCGTCTTAATCAATCCGAGTCTGAGAACAATGAGGATTCTATAAAATCCATTCTTGATGAAGAACTCAGACTAGTATGTTTATGCTAATCATCTTATAAAGTGGCATCTTTTCTTGAAATTTATGCAAGAGTAGATTTCATTAGTCTTTTAGCTTTATAACTTTGATGAGAAGATGGCCAATGAATGCTATGATTTTGAAGTTGGTCTGAGTAGACTAGTGTTTTAATAATTGTCACTGGTTTAGTTAGATATTGCCATATTGGTGTAGGAGGCATTTCATCTCTAAGACCAGTAAATATTACTGGGTAATAGATGCGATTGGTTTGTGTTAGTTGACGCTTGCAAGTCCACTTGTAAGTACATTGCATGTATCAAATCCATAGTTGTTAAGGCGTCGCCTAGGCGCTAAGGCGTTATGTTTTGCTCGCCTCGCCCAGAAAACCCTCAGGCGGTCAGGCGCTCGCCTAGGCGTCGCCTTACCTCGCCTAGACGCCTTGGGTCACTTCAAAATTATGAAAAGCCCAATTTTTTTTAGTGCAGCCTATTTTTTTTAGTTCAGCCCATCCTTTTAGTGCAGCCCAGAGACTGAAGTTGAACCATTTCCAAATGATGATGAGCAAATTGAGGATGACTATGGTGTTGATTTATCTACTGTCCAGGATGAATCTATGGACACACTGACACAGATAATGATATCCATTTGAATGACCTATTCAATGATAATATTTAGACATGCATGTTTGGTTCATTAAACCAGAGGGATGGAGATGAACTTGTTTTGAATTGTGTTTTTGTTTTGAATTGAACCCTTCTTTCTTTTTCAGATT